CGCCCGAGAGGTGTGGAGCTCGTCCGGAGAACGCCCCAGTAATCGTGTTCTCAGACGGCTTCAGTCCGCTGGGCTATTTTCAGAGCGGGCAGTGTTCTTGAACAATATATCAATGGAGCTGCCGCCGTCAATCGAGACCTGTCGAATCGAACCTTGTTGATACAAGGATCGAGGACCGTGGGCAAACGCCTGCTCGGGTATGGCGGCCCATTGGTCCTTCCTGCTGAAGTAGATTTCACGGTGAGACCACGGAGGAAGCCGCGGATCGGTGAGAAGGTTGTCGTTCTTCGCCACGTTCAAGCGGTAGCGGCGCGGCGACTTATGCGTTCTCGTTTGGTCTCGATGGACACCTTGCCGCCGATGATGGTGTGCACGCGATCGGTCGGCTTGACGTATTTATGACGAGGATCTGCATCATCGCTGCCGTTGTCCTCGTTATACTGTTCCTTTACATCATTAGGCTTGTCGGAAATATCCGGAGCCTGTTGGCGCGTGTAGATAGTCTTGAGGACGCGACAATTCTCCATGGTATGGTTCGACTTGGGATGGAGCTGGCAGGGGCCCTTCAATGCTTTGGCGTAGTCGTCCTCGTGAATTCGACGTCCGCCGCCCTTTTTTTCACCGTATTGACCTCGCCGTCGTCTTCCCGAAAGCACGCTTGTTCTCAGAATCGCCACGGCGGTTGCGCGCCGCCGATTACGTTGATCACGGTGGTCGCCGGAGTCGCTATACCGGTTGGTTGCGGCGGTCAAAATTGTCGTTCCGACTACGGTTGCCGCGGTAATCGTCGCGGCGTGGAGGGTGGTCGGAGCGCGGGATCCTTGCTTCTTCTTCGACGATTATCTTTTTAGCGTCGTCAGCGTCCTCGTATTTCTTAGCGGTGGCCAAGAGCGCCGTGGATCGACTCGTGTCTTTTCCGGAGGAGCTTGTCCCTTAGGGCGTCGTGGAAGCGGGCCCGTGACGAAAAGCCTCGATTGCTTCGTTGTCGGAGATTGATGGGACCTTGATGCGCATCTCCGAGAAACGCCGAACGTATTCGCGCAGTGGTTCGTCTTTCCGATCTCGGATCCATTGCAGATCGTACTTGTTGCCGGGTTGTTCACAAGTAGCGATGAAATTGTCGATGAAGGCCTGCTTGAGCTCCTGCCAAGAGTCAAAACAGTTTGCCGGGCAGTCGACTAGCCATTGGTGACCAAGCGTGACCAACGGCAATCGGGAAGTAGTTAGACATAACGTGCTTTCGCCACCCATGGCTGATCGGCACGCTGCGATTTCAGTGAGACATGACCCATAATTCGGGGTTTTCCTTGCCGTCGTATTAAAGTTTCTCGAGCTTGAAATTCTTGGGCCATATGACTTGGCGAAGGTGTGGAGTGAATCGCTTGGACCGGAGGGCCGTGGGCGGTGTCATACTCCATACGGGCGATAGCTTTCATGGGATGCACGATCGTTGGCTCTCTCGGTTGATGCGAGCACGCAGATCACGTCCCGCCGAGGTAATGGCGAAGATCGTCATTGCCGTCAGCGGCGATCCCGATAGCCATCACGACCACCGCGTTATCACGGCGATTGTCGCGGTTATCCCGCGCGTTGTCACCTCGAACGTCGTGGACGGATATCCTCTCGGCGACGGTTTTCGTCCCGACCACCGCCGCCGCTCGCCTTTGACGATTGTCCGACGGGTCGTTGTTGCGCGAAAGCCACGCTTGTTGAGCGGTATGAGCGACTTTGAGTATTGGCGGTCGTGTGGCTTGATTCCACCAAACGGATGGGGCCCGGCTTGATTCATCTCGGTGATGCAGGCCATAGCGTACGTCGATATGCTTGTATTTCATCACGGACCGCTTGGGTTTCGAGGTTGGGCGTACCACATTGCATTGTCGCCATGGCAACGGCTACGTTGGCGCTTGGGGTCTTGAAGGCTTGTTTGTCCCCACACCGCCGAAAGCATTGTTGAGGTCGCGCGTTGGATCCTTATGCGCCCGCCTCCCGGTTCCGCTTTCACTTGATTTGCCGCGATTAAACCGGTCAATGTTGCGTGCTTCAGCGTGCGCCTTTTCTTGTTCGCTTTTACCAACTGCTGGCGCTCGTCGTCGTTCTTGACGACATGGATCAAATCCCTCGCCTTGGCGGGAAAGATGGAAATTGGGGAAACCCGGGCGTGGTCCGGTAGATCCAGATCGTATTTGGCGCCTTCATCTTCGTGGACGCCGAAACTTCGGTGTGGGACGATGCGTTGGATGCGATGCCGGGATGAGGAGCCGGAGTCACCCTCTCGGACCGTGTGGATGTAGACCCTTCTTGATAATCTTCAATCCGGACCATGTTAACGATGTTGCATGGCTTCGGACGAGATCGATGTGTGGGACATAGATCCAAACGGCGTCGTAGGTTGCACGCGTAGTCAAAGCGGCGTTTCGCAGCCGTAGGGCTGACTCGTGGTTCTCCGTCGGGACTTCATACTCGCGAGTCGGAGGCCCGCCGCTGGCCGGGTGGCGACGAGCGAGCGCCCTCGAGAGTAGATACGACCACAAGATCTGCTCCATGCCGCAGACGACCGCCCGAGCCGGTCGGATAGATCTGCTGTGGGGCTGTTACCCGATCGATGGAGTCGAAGCGGGTCGGTGTCGTCGATCTGCTTCCCTCCGTGGCGGGAAGCGGATGACGGGTTGTCGGCGTGGTCGTAGGCGTGGTGTCGGAGCCCGATGTACCGTGGTGAAGCCGGATCCATCGTGGTCGAGGCCGTGTTCGCCGTGGTCGAGCCCGTGTTCACCGTGGTCGGAGCCGTATTCACCGTGGTCGAGCCGTATTCACCGTGGTCGAACCGTAGCCGGCGCAGTGAAGTAGTCGCTTGCCGCGGGTTGAATACACGCCTCGGTCATGGTGATGGAGACGCTGTACGGGTGGTCCAAGTGATCTCGGCCGATGGTGAACGTGAGGCCGTCGGGCGTAGCCATGGAGCCGGAGATGATGACCATCTTGTTCGCTTGGAGAGCAATCGCCTCCCCTCGTCAAGCGCCCACCGTCGACGAAATATGGTCGGCGGCCTACCTAGGGGTATGCCCAAGGTAGTAGATTATCGGCGACAGTCAGCGCAAGTCCCAAACAAGACGGTGACGCAAGATGCATAACCACGAGGTTTTATCCGTGTTCGCCGCCAAGAAGGCGTAATACCTACGCCCTGCGTCCTCGATTTGTATTGTCAGTATGTCAATGAGAGATGATTTTAGAGGGTCCCCGCCCGCCTTATATAGTCCGGGGCGGGTTACAGATCTGAAACTAATCCTAGTCGGTTACAATTGCCATATGTGGCGGATAAGATTCCTATTCTAATCGACCGAGATCCTGCTTGGTCGCCAAATCCGCTTGATTCCTTGTGCGGGACTCGATCAGTTAATCGGGCATACGTCATCTTTCGTGGATCAACCTATCGATCCAGGCCAACCCAAGCTTAGCCGTAAGGGTATAGGGGTTAATACCCCCACAGACCCAGATAATCACTTTAAGAGTTATGGACCCAAATGAGAATACGGGAAAAGTTTAGGGCCCATGGTACATTTCATTCTTATAAAATTACCTATAAAGAACATTTTTGATACTTGAATTATGGGCAGTATGTTGCTGTTTTCTTTTTGAAACAGTTATATAATTCTGGAGTTAGCCCCTATTTATGTTGTAATGTTTTGTTTCCGATACAGTAAGCTTAAATTACATCTGATGTACCATAGTAGGGGATTCCCGTACTGTGTTTCCATCAAAAAATGCTGCACTTCTTTAGCTCAAAGCTAGTGAAATAGAGTTTTCTGGTGATCTTGTATTTCATAATTTGTTCATTGCATAGGCCATTGTTTTATGTTAACTTAAGTATTTAACTACTCTATAGATTCTTTTTCTGCAATATATTTTGGAGCACTTATTTAGCATCAGGATGTTTCGATATGATCACATTCTGCATTGTTCTTTTCTGTGGGAAGAATAGTTGCAATGATTGCAAAATTGACCTTTTCAGTTACTGGAGAGCTTCGAACCTAGTAAACCATGGGAACCAAGACTCAAACCGAAAAAGACTAAACAGAAGAACCCTCAGGATTATGATGGACCTGAGCTGGAGAGTTTGCTGTTCCGTGAGTTTTTAAAAGCTAGATTCTTGCCAAGGTATGAGGCTGGTTACTGCTGTCCCTGTAGTTCCTTTGATGTTTTTCTTCGCCACAAGGAACACTGGAGGATATCTTACATGAAAGTAGCTACTAGCACTTTATTTATGTAACAGCCTAGCAGCAACAATTTAAGGTCTAATAAGTGTCTTGTTGATGAATAGTGATAATATATGTCAAATTGATGGAGAGACTGGGAAGTGCAAATGCACTAGGACAAGCCGACGACTAATCCACTTTAGTTCTTTTACTTTTGGGGACCATATGCACAAAGTGAGCTACCAGTTTGAGGGAAGGGCCGGTGATTCAGGCCAGTACCATCCATTTGGGACGCACACTGATGGTGCCTCAGTTAGGTTGTGAATATGTATGGACATGTTCTAGTTGTCTTACTCCCACCATTCCAAAATGTAGGTCATTTTAGTTATCCCTAAGTCAAACTTCTCTAACTTTGGCCAAAAAACAAGACATATTTTATGGTAGATATTTGATGAAACTAATTTGATATTGTAGATGCTGCTTTTTTCTATAGATTTGGTTAAAGTTAAGTTTGACTTAGGACAGAACTAACATGACCTATATTTTGGGAAAAGAGGGGGTACTTAGTTGTGACCATTCCCTTTATTGACATTTGAGGTTGACAATTGAGAGTTTTTCACTCGATGTCTTGGCATGTGTGTGTCTGGGCCCCATTTTTGTGAGACAGCTAAGTGGTGATCCTAAATTGTACTTATTGGACTGTGTAAGCTGTGCGTTCTATTTATTATTTTCTGTTCTAATAGCAACCATTATTTTCTGCCCTTCAGTTATGTGATGTGTACAGCTGCAAATTGTTGGCTGACACTGATGGATAGGCTTCTGACACCTGGGGTTTCTCAGAGCGAAAAGGATTCAGTAAAAATTAAGATGCTTGAGTTGGTTGACATTTATTATTGGGCTTTGGATGCCCCAAAGACAGGGGATAAGGTTATTTTCAATCCTGGGCCTATATGTCTTATAGATGAGTCATCCTTTCTTTTATTTAACTTTCCTTATGCTACCAGTAAATGATATGTGATAAATCATTCAAAAAGGAATTCTGGATGCTTAGAACCCTATGTTCTTCTAAAAACAGTGATGCACAGTAACTGTTTGAAACAGCTATTGAGTCACATGACAGATTGACAGTGTGGTCCACATGATTCAGGTGTTTTGGCAAATTGTACATTAGTTTGGGGTGTATATGTATTGGAAGTCAACATGTAATTTAATGTACTAGCTGGAGTTACATTGGTGCTCATCGTAGGGCCAACTTGGCTGCCTTGTGTCCTCAGCCACCAAAACCTAGTGAATGTGCCCTGGCATGGAGTTGAATCTCCTCAATCTCACAGGATGTCTCACGCTGCTTCTGTAGTTCTGTTTACTGATATTCCCTGCAGAAATAAGTGACCCCTTTTTACTTTTGATTTGATTTCCACTATTAAACTGGTAAAATCATAATGTTATTATGAAAGAAGTTTCACGACAAATGTACACTTGTCATTTTTCATATTCTAACTCATCTCTCTCCCAAACAGATCAACATTCCTGAACATCTTATGGTGAAGAAGTACCCACACTTCTTGGAACGGGAACCTTCCTACAATTCGATATCAGTGTTGGGCAATATCTATGATCTTGCAAAATCGCAGCAGGAGTCTGAAATTGTCCCTCCAATCAGTAAGTTGCTATTTCTTGCAGGCTGGTGTCGCTTTCTTTTAATACGCTCTTCAGATATTACAGTAGAAAAGAACTATGGAACTTCATCAATTAAGCTACACTAACTGGATGGCCAAGTTAAGTAGCATGCTTTTGGTCATGGGAAACCCTGATCTAGTCTTAAATTCAGCTTGACAGAAGCATGTTCTTGTCTTTCTTACGCCAATTTTGTTTCGTCAGAGGTATCTCCCCTGAAATGCTTTACTGAGGAAACAGTATCTGAAGACTATAAGTGCCGGTGGAGAGATCTTTATCGCGAGTACCTGATAAAGAGCTCCTCACTGTGTAAGCTGGCGGACCAAGAAGCACGGGACCATGGGTTCCGGGAACTCTACCAAGACTACAAGCGGGTAAAGAATCTCATCCATCGGAGGTAGTGCTTTTGGTTGCCGGCATCCTGATGTATGTGTCTTTCTGGTGTGCCTGCAGATCATGTACGACGCCGAGGACTTTGACGCGAGCCCACGGAGCCACTTGGAACTTTTGAACGAGGCCTGCGCGATATACCAGGTGGTCTATGAGCGTGCGATGGTCGGCAACGAGGTGAGCAAGTGCGGGTTCGCGTGGAAGGTGGCCGGCCGTGCCCTGTGCGAGCTCTACCTGCTGAAGCATGGCGGCGAGAGGGTCACCTGCCTGCGCTCCGTTCTTGAGGATGCTTTCAAGAAGTACCGGGCGTAGCATTGCTGCATTAAGCAGAGAGGATGGTGTGACTGTGATGTCTATATGTGTGTATGTATAGTACGCTATATGTATATCGCTGGGCTGTGTCCATCAGGGGACCATAAGGTCATCCAAACGCAAAATAGGTCTCCGACAGAACTCTATTTTCAACAGAGTAGCTATATAGAAGATCTATTTTGGTTGTCAAGAGAGGTAGAACCTAAATTTGAATATCCTCTCTTCTGGAGATGGAGACCCATTTACAAAAAGGGTTATCTTTTGAGTCTTGTTGTTGAAGAAGACTAAAAAATAAAAATAGATATTGAAACCTTTTGTCCGTAGGCCGTAGCAATATCAATGGGTCTTTGTATTTTTTGGTGACTGCCGATCCATGCTACCTATCCGGCTATCCGAAACGGACCTAAATGTCTAGGCCTAATCGGCCCATGCTGGATTGACCTGACCTGTAGTTGGGCTGCTTGCTCCTATTGCTTTCGGCCTTTTGGGGGAGGAACAGGAAGAGACCGGTCTGCTCCTGCCGCTGGGCAAACAAAAGAGCACGGAAATCGACAGGGAGATGCTCGGTGTTGCAGGGCGTGGCAAACAAGTGATACCGGTGGCAACGAATATCATCAGACTCTGAATCCGACAAATGACAAGGTTTCCGAATCATCCTGTCCACGCAAACACTCCTAGTGCACATGACTCGTCTCTTTCTTTCCTGTCGCGGTAAGCCGGCACTCCCATTTTCCACGAACCCAACCCCGCATCGTGTCACTACGCCCAACCATTCATAGTTAGTTAGCTACCTCACAGCATCTGTGGCGTTCGCTCGCTGGCTCGCTACCATGGCCACACACCTCCACCGCCTGCTGCTGCTCTTCCTCCCTTCGCTCCTACTCTTTCGCCGCGGCACGCTGCCGCCGCCGCCGCCCAGTCCCAGCGCTGCCGTGTACCCTGTCGTGCTGGTGCCGGGAAACACCTGCAGCCAGCTCGAGGCGCGCCTCACGGACGCGTACGAGCCGCCCCCGGAGTCGCCGCAATGCGGCGCGGGCAGCAACGAGCGGGGCCGGTGGTTCCGGCTGTGGAGGAACGCCACGGCCATGGACGACCCCGCCGTCGCGCCGTGCCTCTCCGACCAGCTCCGCGTCGTCTACGACCCCGCCGCCCGCGACTTCCGCAACGTGCCCGGCGTGGAGACCCGCGTCCTCGGCTTCGGCTCCACCGCCGGATTCCTCGCCGACACCGAAGCCAACAAGTAAGCACTGAGCCCGGCGGCCGTCGCCGGCCTACCCTACATACAGTCGCGAACACGCACGTGCTGACCAGCCAGACCTGTACCTATATGGCCCGGCCATACACAGAGACCTGTGCATGAGGAGGCTCGTCGAGGCGCTGCAGCAGGCGGGGTACCGCGACGGCGAGACGCTGTTCGGCGCGCCGTACGACTTCCGTCAGGCTCCCGCCGCGCGGGGGCAGCCGTGCCGTGCCTTCGGGCGGTTCACCCGGCGGCTGAGGGCGCTCGTGGAGCGCGCGAGCAGGGAGAACGGGGAGAAGCCCGTCGTCCTCGTGTCGCACAGCCAGGGGGGCTACTTCGCGCTGGAGTTCCTGAACCGGAGCCCGCTGTCGTGGCGCCGGAAGTACGTCAAGCACTACGTCATGGCGTCCACGGGCCCCGGCGGGCTCCTGCTCCCCCTGCGGAACCTCGCTTCCACGCCCGGCGAAGCGGTGGAAGCCCCCGATGCGTTGGTGGCTCTGCCGTCGCCGGTGGTGTTCGGCGCCGGCACGCCGCCGCTGGTCGTCACGCGGGACAGGAACTACACGGCGAGCGACATGTCGGAGTTTTTGACGGCGATCGGGGTGCCCCCGCTCGGGGTGACGCTGTACGAGACGCGGGCGCTCCCGGTGCAGCTCGGCTTCCGGGCGCCGCTGGTGCCGACGACCTGCGTCAACGGCGTCGGCCTGTCCACGATGAAGCAGCTGGTGTACTGGGACGGCAACTTCAGCGAGACGCCGGAGGTGGTGTACGGCGACGGCGACGGCTTGTTACCCTTGGCGAGCATACTGGCGCTCGACACGGTGATCGGCAGTGACCCGAGGCAGGAGTACTACAAGTCTATCAAGCTTGCCGACACGTCTCACGCCGGCGTTGTCTCAGATGCTGCGGCCTTGAAGCGTGTCGTTGATGAGATTCTTTGGAGCACTCCGATGTGAGGAAGTGTATCAGAGATCAACACTGTCACCAGTTCGATAGTCAATTGATTTGCAAGGGCATCTCCGAGAGTACTCAATATTTTCATTCTAAAAACATAAAGTTTTATAACTCCTAAAAATATATTGAAAGGAATAGAGAAGGCCATCGACAAAGTTTATAATAATCCACTCCTAAAATATAAAAGACAATTTTATATCAGGAATCCTATACTATTTCTAAATTATTCTAACTACTTTTATATATTTTTTCTCTCTTGTACATTTGTATCAGGAATCCTTTCCTACTCTTTATTCTTTCCACTCCCTTTCACCTTTAGATTGGCCGACAAACATGCGCGGGGAGAGAAGATACGCGCGACTCGGAAGCGCGTAACTTTACGCGGGTGACTTTTCCCAAGTTCTAAAAGATACATTAAGAGTTATTGAAGAGAGGTTTTTTCTCGTCTTGCTAAAAACCAAGAATTGTGAAGTGATTTAGGGAACTCTCGGAGATGCTCTAAGTAGTGCCTCCATCCAAAAATAAGAACTTCACTTTAGGTAGTATGGACTAAATCAAACAACCAAGTATTAGTACCTAGTTTTTTTTGTATATATTGGATGAAATTTGAGATTTATTGACTAAAAAGGAAAAGCAAATGTGACCATAACCATGCGTTGTACAACTTGTTGCACAATCACTTTGACGATTTACAGTTTGGAGGTTTTATACAACCATCGTCATATGTTCTAGCTAGCAAGGTGACCCGTGCAAAACTGCAAATAGCACGCGTAACTATATTTGCGTGGGTAGCTAGTTTATTTTCACCTTAGCTATTAGGCTTTTTAGATGAATTTGTTGGAAAGAAAGTTTGTTTGTTTATTTGACTATAATTGTTCTCTCTGGATACTCTCCAAATACAGCTATATACATGAACTCCATACATCATCAACCAAATCCTTGGTTTAAAGATCTCTTCTCCTTTTTTATTCCACTCCTTTCTAGTGGCTGCGCAATTTTTGCTGAGGCGAGACGCTAGTATCCTTCAATTCTTTGGTGAGCTTAATAAAATCGTTGTCTAAGCCTTTTACAAAATTTTATTTAACCCTCTTATAAATTTAAATTTTGAATAACACATACCTTACTCAAAATCTATATTTTTCTTTTTTCTCTAAAATATCTTTACATTCATCATGATATGGCAATCAACTGTTAGTGGGCCCCGTCATCACACCAATATCCATTGGCTTAAGCATTTCAAAACAAAACTGTGGAACCATCACTGACACCAGTAAATTGTTGACCTCTGACCTCCTACTTATGCTACTCTTATTTGTTTTCCGATTGTGTATAGTTTTTCGCGAATAAAAAATAAATCCAAACTATGTCCTTTTTGGTTGCTTTCGAGTTTCTCACACATGCCTACCAAGGAATTGATCGATCAATAGCGTATAAGATATTTTCCTCAAAAAATAGCGTATAAGATATTAAAATAGAATTTGTTTTTCATGGTTTTATCATAATCTCTACTAACTAAACATGTGTTTCCTTCATTGGCCATTCATCATAGTGGGTCCAGATCTAAAAACCCAATAACAGAGCATTCTTGAAGGACAAGAAAGAAAAACACCTGGAACAAAGGACGGAGCAAAAGAAACAATAAGATCCAAGATATCTACAGCTATGAGATCGGAAAAACAGAAGGCAGAAGATGCGTACGAAAGGAATAAGTAAAACCAACTCAAAGAAGAAAAACTGATGAAGATGCAGATCAAGATGATAAAACACCTTAAAATCAAGTATTACTTTACTCTAATTCATCACTGTCTGCTACCCCCTAATCTTTGGACTTGCAATTTTGCATATCATTTAATCAATCATGCTTACAAACTTGAATAAGAAACAAATCAGATTCAAGATTCACCAAATTTCGAGATCAATTACAAACTCAGGTCTAATGAATCAAGTGTGCCACCAACAATCTGCAAGTAATATTTTGGCTACCAATCACTAACAACCAAGGGCAAAGGAAATAATGATTCATGATGCTGGCCACAAACAACAGTCGTAGGGTCCTGTACTAATCTTACATGTTTCGGACGGTTATAGATTTGATTTCTTCCACTATAAGTATTGGATCATTTATGCCAGCAATAATATCTGCATCGTTCTGCAAGATACCCAAGGAGAGTAAAATGATGACATGTTAAGCCACGACATGCTGGATCTTTCATACACCATATCATGTTCAGTCCATCAAGTTTGTAGTTTTATTGGTGGCATTTTTCTTCTCTTTAACCTGGTCACTTGTGGCAATATTAACACCAACTAAAGCTTTTATACCTCTGAACATGAACTGTAGCAGATATCAATGATCTCTCCGTACTGAAGTTCCTGGAAATATAGTGTCAACTGAAGCTTTTAACAATGGTTTTAACAATGATCTGATCTGTCTGTGGACTGAAGCTTTTAATATGGTCCCAATTTAACCTGCACTGTTATAATGTTTTCGAGTATGATATATGTCGAAGAACAAAACTAGTCAAAAAGGACGTGCGCATAGCTGTAGATTTGTGTGCTGCTATCCTCCTTTACCTGCACAAACTGAAAACCGAAGTGAGCTGCAGCCCCTTCTGCTTCTAGAAATCAATAAAAAGAACATGCACCTGGGCAGTGTCTACTATCAGGTTGCTGTTGCACTGAACATTGAGGAAAAATGCCGACATACTGAACTTAATGCACGTGAAAAATAAATTGAGCTCATTGACACAATGACATAATGACAAATAAAATAAACATATTAAGCATGCAGAAACAAAACCGCCAAAACAATATCAAGCAAGTGTATATCATGTTGTAGTCGACGACTAAATCTGGGATTTAGTGCGGCCTTAGCTAATTAAATCTAAGCAAACAGATTCGCCTAAAGATTTTAGCTATAATATCGGGCATCTAGGTCGTCTGACCACCATTTACATAAGTAAAAAAAAATGAAACTAGGGTACTGGGAAATTTACTCCAAAAGGAGCCTCAAATTTAGTTCAATGGCTAGCTGAACTGATCTAGCTATCCACACATGCAGACTTCAAAACTCATTGCAAGAGATATTAAAAAAAAAATTGGTACCGACAGCTCAAAAAAAGACAAGGCAACTTTGATTAAACACAAGACTTGCCAAACTTGAATAAAGAAACATAGACCGCAACTGCAAAAACCGAAAGGCTCAGGTACTAAAACACTGAAATGTTGATCTGCAACTGAGCTACAACTACCCATCTGCCAACGGGCCAAGCATCCAACAAAGACAAGCAATGATTGTTTTAATGTAGTATGAAAATCAGAAAATGACATGGTCATAAATTGAATACACATTGACTTGCTAAGAAAGACAATGTAAACCTGTAAGCAGGACTGAGGTATCGTCTGCACCACCAAAATGCCACTACAGCTGAACCAAGTACTCAGACTGCAGTTGCTTCTGACCAAACCAAGCCACAACTAGGCAAGATACAGACTTGAACTGCTGCACGAAGTAACTGAAATTTAGTACCTGAGTCACGATGAGACTAAATTACTTATAGTGAAACTACATAATACTGAAACAAGAAAACAAGAAACACAAAACATGCACCTGGCTAGATTACAAAAACTCCACACCAAGAAAAAAGGAACAAATTAAAACTAAAGATACATTCTACATATATTAAAAATGACGTACCCAGTACAGAACTGGGGAAGGGTGTCAGTGGCAAGCCTTACCCTCGCCTGTGCAATGCGAGGAGACCGCGACTCGAACCCGGGACCTTTCGGTCACAGGCGGTAAGACTCTACCGTTTGCACCAGGCCCGCCCTTCTATTCTACATATATTACTATTACTGAAATTAGATTAAGAGAAACTTCTACTGAATATATACTGAAGCTACTTTTAAGAAACTTATACTGTAGATTAAGAGAAAATACAACACTTATACTGAATATACAATTAAGATGACATAATAAAACAAACTGAACTACAACTTAAAAACTTAACCAAAACAATTAGAGTTAATTAAAATCTGAACTAATAACGGTAATGAACCTAAAACTAAGTCTAGATACTCTGAAACCTTAACTCTAATTGAAAAAACTTAATTAAAATAAAAATAGAGTAAACTAATAATTGAACTGATAAGTAACTAAAACTGAAACTAAAGTCTAGATACTCTGAAACATGAACTCAATCTCAAAAAGTTAAATCAAACAAAACTAGAATTAACTTAAAACTAAACTGATAACTATACTGAACCAGAAACTTAACTGAAAATACTAAACATGAACTTGAAACTAAACAAAAAAAAATGAAAGGCTTAGGAACTAAACAATGAAACATTCATCTGAACTGAACTTATTAATTAGGCATTAAAACTGAACTCAACTGAACGTAATTGCTAACATTGGTCGCTGCAACTAAATATACTTTACATAATAAAACTGAACTTGAACCTGATTGCTTAACTGAACCGGAACCTTTACCCAATAGGCTAGACGAAGACTACTGCATCGAACTAAACCTAAACTTGATCCTGATTGCTGCAACTGAAAGTGCATCTAGTTTTTTAGTGGGTTTTGAATGATTGAATGACAACGTGATTAAAGGTCTAACCCGTTTGCTAAGTGTGGACAGGTAATAAGTTATCTCACAGGTACTTAATAAAAGCCAAAATGATGTGTTGTTGTATAAATAATCTAGTTCAAGCACAAGACAACAATGCAAATGGAATTCATGCAAAGGCTTATTTATTGTGGGATTTCCATGTACTATGTGAAAGCAAGCCCGGTAAAAATTAGTTGATGAGACATGAGGGATCGCATATGGAATGATTTCATATTTGAAGCTTGCTATATTGAAATGAAAAATATGACAATACAAATGAATAGATAATTCAACACAAGATGTGATTTGATGACTTGAGATGGTGAAGATAGCAAGGAAAGGCTTCGAGGTACTAAGTAAGGGTGAAGGGCAAGCGACGGCTTGGCGGT